AATCGGAGGGACTATTCCCCTGTTCAATTGGGCTGGTTGGAGGTTCAAAGTCAAAATCCAGACTGGTAGTTTGTGTCGGTTCCTGACTGGTAGTTAGTGTCGGTTCCGGACTGGTAGCTTGTGACGGTTCCGGACTGGTAGTTAGTGTCGGTTCCGGACTGGTAGCTTGTGACAGTTCCTGGCTGGTAGTTTGCGTCGGATTCTGACTGGTAGCTTGTGACAGTTCCTGGCTGGTAGTTTGCGTCGGATCCTGACTGGTGATTTGTGACGGTTCCTGACTGGTAGTTTGTGACGGGTCAAGATTGGTGGTTGAGTCTTGCAGATTGGAAAATGCGAACAATAAATCATTCTCACTTTGCATCCGTTCAATAACCTCGGTCGGCAAAGATGATGATGTTAAGCCAACTTAAGCTTCACATCCAAACATAGCGGCATATGGTGATCGTTTGATTCCAGAATGCAGACTGGAATTTTTCTGGAATTGTACAAATTTTATGCCCACAGACCAATCATTTGTGTTATTATCCCCCATCCAAGCAACAAGCATATCCTTTATGTCACCATTTGCCCTTTCCACAGACCCTTGACTTTGAGGGTGTCGAGGTTTACCGTGAACCATGACCAGTCTGGGCCACATCAGCTTCAGTTCAGAGATAACCTCAGCTGTAAATTCACTTCCGTTGTCGCTCTGGAGGATCGATGGGGCACCGAGAAGAAGAAAAATATCCAGTAAATGATGGGCAACCTCAGCAGCACGTTTTGAGGTTAATGCTCGTAGAATAACAAATTTGGTCAAGTGGTCTTGATAGACCATGATCCACTTGAATGAATTTTGGGCCATGGACTGCATATCAATCAGATCAATTTGTGCACGCGAGGCGAATTCTTTTGTTAGAATGGGACGTACCAGTCTGGGCCACACCAGCTTCAGTTCAGAGATAACCTCAGCTGTAAATTCACTTCCATTGTCGCTCTGGAGGATCGATGGGGCACCGAGAAGAAGAAAAATATCCAGTAAATGATGGGCAACCTCAGCAGCACGTTTTGAGGTTAATGCTCGTAGAATAACAAATTTGGTCAAGTGGTCTTGATAGACCATGATCCACTTGAAAGAATTTTGGGCCATGGACTGCATATCAATCAGATCAATTTGTGCACGCGAGGCGAATTCTTTTGTTAGAATGGGACGTACCACCACACCCTTGGTCCTTGGGCGCTTGCGTTTCTTCTGACATTCCTGGCAGTAGGACTTGAAAATTTCAAGAGCCTCCCGAGTGATGTTAGCATACTTTTTGTTGACCTCTTTGGCCATTCGATCACGCCCACCATGGCCTGTGGCTATGTGAGCTCGCTTGACCACATCATATGTGTCTTCTATACTGACATAATATACTGGATCCTCATCTTGGGTGGCACGCTTTTTGATGAGTTTCTCAACATCACCGCACTGCAGTATCTCAAACCTGAAAAAATACAATACATTTTTAAAACTATATTTAAAAGATACTTAAACCATGCATATATGTAATGTTTGAAAAATACACCCCAGACCCACCCTATATTCAAAAAACGCTGACAGAACAAAAACATGTATAACTAGATCGGCCAGGCAGATATGAAAGCTTTCATATTTACGGCCACTTCCTGTGACATGTCATGGGTTATATAAAAAATAATATGAAAAATAAAAGGAAATGACTGACACTGGTATTGCTGTAATATGATTGACTTCCAGTTCCAGAAAAATCGATCAAGCCGTTTAAAATCGAGACGAATCAGAAAATGAAATGAAAATGGCGGGAAAATATTGAAAAAAAGAAATGATATAATTTTGAATGGAACTTATATTTTTGGAATCGGATTGACCTCAGCTGTTCGAATATTTAGGTCAAATTTGTAAATTTTGAAAATTAAAGAAATAAATTGTCTTGTAAACAACTTTGTTGTAATTACTTTGATAGTAAGTAGTATCCATGTCTGTTCTTTGTTCCACCAGCTCCTGCTGCTGTTTTTATATCCTCTATCATTGTGAAATACGCCTCCTTTGGAATTAAAATTCTCTTGCAAACTTCATATTTCTTGTAAAGCTCTGCTTTAAACCGATTTTCGTAAGATTCTGCCATGAGGATATCAAGTAAATTGTTTCAATGACAACATCCAATATGCCATAGACCACTCTTTCTGAAATTAAACACAATGATTAATGGATAACTTGTTTTGAAGTATTGACAATGATTTTATCAAGTTTTTAGATACACAACACCCTGAAAGAAGATTAAATTTAATTAATATTGTCAGTGAAAATAATTGTTGATACATGCATAAAGAATTAACATAATTTCACTTAAATACAAAGACCATTAATAGAACAAAGATTTTACCAATCATTAATGGTCCCCTAGAGGCCGGGTAATTAAATCAGTGCTAGGACTATCTAGGAAAAAGTGCTTAATTTTGGATGTTTGGGTTTGGTCCGGTTCACTGATTTTAATTGTTTGGTATGCTGATCTAAACAACATGTCCGTCTTGAGTAGCATTGCCCTAATATAAATTACATAAGCGTTGACAACTATTAACCGGCCAGTGGGAGTATCAAATAACTTAACATATAAAGTCTTTGATATCAGTTGTTTAGTCTTCCAAAAACCAAGTTTTATCATGCTGAGCTATTTTTGTACGCCCATATTTTCAAGTGGACGTGTATTGAGTCGCTCCTGTCAGCCCACAATTTATTTGTGGACACGCGGTTCCTTTCGATATTGGCATTTTATCCAATATTAAAAGTTGTTCTAACATATCACCATTCCACCCTTATGATGGTTGAGTTCGAATTTCATGAAAATCGGATTGAAACTGCCCGCTCCTCGTTCGCAAATAGTATAAAAGTATATAATACCAAGGTTGTGGACACTGTAGAAGTCACAATTTTTTTATCCGATTTTGATCAAACTTAAAATATATGTCTATATTCCATGGATTTTTGTTTCTTTCCATATTCGCACATATCGGTCCGTAACCTCCTAGATTATGGACCCTGGGTGTACCAAAAATTACAGTTTATACCCGATTTTAAAAACCGTTTAAATATACACCGTTAAACCCTGGGTTTGAATTTTGTGATAATCGGATCGAAGGCTGTGGTCCCTCTAACGATTTGTATCCGGTTTTGAAAAAAACTTAATATTATATGTTTATGTATCAAAGATCTCGGTTTGATGTTCGCGTATATCGGGCCTAACTTCTTGCCTTGTGGCCCCTATTGTACGAGAAATTGTAAGAATAATACTACGAGTTCTTGATGTGGAAATTTACACGGAAATATTTATTTATGGCTAGTGATATATATATATATAAATATATATATATATATATAAGCAGGATCTAATTATATCCTGGTTATATATATATATATATATAAGCAGGATCTAATTTAGATAAGATATGATATCATATCCTTAGCCATAAATAAATATTTCCGTGTAAATATTTATGGCTAGGGATATCTAATATCGAATTCCAACTGCCAAGGGATCTTTTACGTGCACGCCAATGTGTACACGGGACCTCGGTTTTTCGTCCCATCCGAACGACTAGACAGCTTTCCTTGTCAGCCCCTCCGTCCTGCATCACTGACAAGGGAGAACCACGCCGGAAAATCTGGATGAACTTTCTCGGCCAATGCAGGGATCGAACACCCGACCTCCAGGCTAGCGAGCTAGCGTCTTACCCACTTAGCCACGTGATCTCCTGTGGTGACAGAGAATATAAGTAATATTGTTATAATACATTATTAAAGGTGTACTGTTTTGTTGACATTGACAATAAATTCGCGTTAACAAAATAGTTTATAAAGTCTAGTATTGATGGCGATATTAGCGACCTTTGATTTTGGCTTGCTGTCGTAAAGTAGAAATTATGAATGGTAGTTATAGGCTTTGCCATTGGTTCACGAATGCCTTTAAGTGCCATTTACAACAAGGGACTCGAAGGACGGGGCTAGATATATTCCACAAGTAACTCAAACGGTTACGTCATATTCCTATCTGGAGAGCATGCGCAATAAATACTAAATCAGTTTATGTACATTCATATTACATTATTATTTGTGTTGCGAACAATTTATGTCAATTTCTAGGTCCTAAATATTAGCGATTTAGCTCTTTTAAATAACAAATACATGTAGATTGTTTTGGGGTGACCTTTTCCCTGTATGTAAATAATCAGTAAATTTCATATTTTTGCACCAAAATAGATAATTGTGCATCAAATTTTCTTTTACTGATAATTGATAAGTTCGTAAATAGTATTGTACGATGGATCAATAGGCCATTAATATTTCGATAGTGGCCCATTTCTATAGAAATCAATATATAATTGGCAAGAGTTATACAATCGTAATGTGCTCAACAACCCTTGTTTTACTTATGAATATTTATCTCCCCAAGAAAAAGTTCCAAAATCATTTAATTGGTTAACATCAAATTGGTCAATATCAAAGTATATGAGTAAAATAATGTAAGATATTTTATACCCTGGCTTAGACAAGCTGCTGTAGATATTACATCAAATTAATAAGCTTATTATTACATTATGTAACATTTAAATCAATTTTTTTTAATTTTATTAAATTGTTATTAAATTTGTTTATTTCTGTCTTTAATTTGATTAGTTTTTTTTATTCTCTTATTCAAATTTCATAGAATCTGATTCCAAACCCATCTAGCTTTAGTTTTACATTCCAAATATAGAGCAGTGTAATATGACACTAATACAATACACCATCTGAATAGATAATAATTGGGCTACAATTTATTGTCTTTGAGAGGTTGATGACAGGATTCTCTTCAACAAATCTTTGAGGTCACATTCCCAAACTTGAAGAAATCTGGCTGATTTCTAGTTGGTCTTAAGACTGTATACATAATAACATACGGTCCATGACAAATAGAAATAACAACTTGACATCCAAGTCTTTATGATATTGTCAAGGGAGGTAATTCTCAATCAAAGATGGCTGCTGGTGTTTGATGGAATCTATTTTTATATTGAAATAACTGAATATAAAAACAAAACCATCCATAAGGCATTTTTAAAAGACTGTAAGACACAATGGAGTTGCAGGACCTACAATATGCACATGCTGAATATATTGAAACGGTAAGTATTTCGACGTTTTTATTCTGAAACTGTATTGTAGCGGTCGATCGTCTATTTGATGACTCTTCATACTCAAACTAAAGACTATCTGACAGACTGACGTGAAACTGACAGTCTGGTATTATTAGTCAACTTAGTGGGGAGGAGGTCGTTTCATCCCAAAACCGTTTCACCCTGGCTTTTTCATCCCAAATTTAGTATTTCTTGAACGTAGGCTACCTCTAAGCTAACAGTTCCCCTCCGTCGTAGAGACCTGACTCCTGAGTGATGGGTTGTTTCATCCGTCTAAATTATTATTTTTAGTATAGGGCTGTTTAATCCCAATATAAAATTTTAATATCAGGTAGATCTAATATGTAACAGTGATACAATTAATGTTAAATTAAAATAATTTGTTTTTTCTGAATAGATTTTAATTTAGATCTAAACTGTATGATTAATTTGGTTTAAATTTTAAAAAAAAGAACAAAGAAAGTGTGAGAATTATTTTCATGGACGTCAAAAATATGTGACGTCATTGATTAGACGCGTCATAGAAATATTCTATCAGACGCGTAATGTCGCTTAAGGGCGAGATTTGTAAGTTGACATGCGCATTGCCAATATTGCCCAGTGTATCCTGTTCTGGTCTGAATTATTTTAATCAACAGTCTGTGGATGACAGTTTTAGTTACGCTCATATTTTTCTTGATTTAACCATGAACATGTGATTCTACAATCTGTTTCACAGAGGTATTGCTAAAAGTCTTCCTATAGCTCTTTAGAAGATAAATGCTTTAAACATGTGCTGTCACATCACAAGGCATCAATCATTGACTCAGTGGCGCGTGCATTGTTTACATAAGACCTTATTGGTTCTGTTAACTTGTGTCAAGCCAACAGTTGCTTGCTTTGCCTACATTCAGAGGCTATCTTACCTCATTTTCGAATACACTAAATGTATATAATATATTTAAACCATACTTCCCCCTACTTATTATTAATAAAATGCCATTAATTCAATTGTTATTAATTAAAACTATGTTTTAGGCATCTGGAAACAAAGTAAGTCGACAGTCAGTTTTATGTGGAAGTCAGAATATTATAATAAATGGAAAGGTTTGTATTAGACCCAATCTGTGTCTGATCTATAGAAATGATAACACTACTTTTATGTTTTTTATGAAGAAGGTGAATGGGCATTATTAAAATCCTATTTATTATTTTGCTGTATAACAAAAACCAATTCTCAAAAGATACACATTTTTCTCACTTGGTTGTGGACTGAATCATCAGAGGCTGGAGAATATAATAAACAGTGGAAATTGCAGTTTTCGCCTGGCGGAAGATTGATGACTTATGTCCCTATGTGCTACCTCATGTTCTTCTCTTAAGAGCAGTATTTGTGGCGAAAAAACCCCATTTGTTTAAACTAAAAGTTGGTAACCCCTATGTATCATGTTGCAACCTGTATATTTGACATATAAACTGGCTTTTTTTCTGCAGTACACGTACATTACAGAATATTTTACATATTAAGACCGAACTAATGAAGACAGGCATTTGCCATACATTGTGCTATAAGGGAAATCTTTTGCATACAGTTATAATCATACAGCAGTACTACGGCCTACCCTTATATCATAATTGTACACGGGACCTCAGTTTTTTGTATCATCCGAATGACCTGTGCCCATACATGCATTATCCCTTGCCAGGCCCTCCGTCCAGCACCACTGACAAGAGAAACAATGCCAGAAAATCCGTTGAAATTTCCTGGACTACACCTTAATCTTATGCTTGACCTCTGGGTTATCAAGCCAACATCTTACTCGCCCCAGCAGCTCCATTTTTCGGTGATTCTATATGATTTCATTGTGATGAACTAATGTCTTATATTGTGTAATCATTTTTCAGACAATAATTATGACAGATTGTATGATAAGAGGAGATTTAGCAAATGTAAGAATAGGAAGAAATTGTGTCATCAGTGAAGGTGCTATAATCAGACCAGCATTTAAAAAATTTAGTCGTGGGTAAGCATACTTTCTGGATTGATACATGTATACACATTTTTCTTTGGCCATTATAACTAATATATAGACAAGAAAATAAACTAATCTTATTTATCCAGGGAGCTGCAATGGCTCAGTGAGTAAGACATTGTCTCGCTAACATGGAGGTCCTATGTTCAATCCAGGATTTTTCGGAATGGTTCTTCTTGTCAGTGGTGCAGGACAAAGGGCCTGGCAAGGGACAACGTATAGTCATTCAGATGGGACAAAAATTGGGTAAAAATTTAAAATTCCTAGTTGAACTAGAAGGTTGTTGGCCCGACCTCCCAATTCATAACAATTAAATACAATGTCCTATATTTTACAGTGTTGCATTTTTTCCTCTACATATTGGAGATAATGTATTTATTGGTGAAGATTCAGTTGTAAATGCTGCACAGATTGGATCATTTGTACATATTGGCAAAAACTGTGTCATAGTAAGTTTTAATATGTAATCAAATATTGTCTGCTATGAATGTTGAATATGAAATAGAACACTGTACATAATACAAGATGAAACATAAAATTTAATATGATGAATTCTGGTTTTGTCATTTGATTAAAACTCAGAATCTGTCTTGTTTCGTATAGTTTAAATTTCATTTTCCTGTACTTCTCAAAACGGAGAGAAATTAAAACCCCATGGATTATTGTTAGGAGCATTTCTTTACTCCCACATTGAAATGGTGTCATATATTGTTTTCACCCCAATCTGTCTGTCTGGTTATCCAGTGTTCACAACTGCTTGTGACTAAAGTTATCATCCAATTGACTTTAATTTACATGAGACAAGAAGGCTATTGATTTTCAGAGATTTTTAATAATTACTGCCTTTAGATTTATACACAATATTTATGTTCTATGATTTTCTAGTTATGACTCTTGATCCCTTTGAAAAATCTTGAGAATAAAGCTGCTTTAAAATTTATACACCGTATTAATGGGATGAAGAAGTCTGTTGATTTTCAACGGTTTCTGATAATAACTGTCAGAGTTATTTGACCCTTGATAATATTCTTGTAGATGCTCAGGTTTAGATTTAAGCTAGTATTGCTGTCTCCCTCCCCCCTTCGATTCCAGTTGACATAAATGATAAATTCTCTTGGAATTCATCCATTTTGTTGTGCTTGGTGTGTTTTTTTTTTAAACAGAAGGATGGGTTTTAACTATAACATTAGACAGGTTTGAGTCATCACCCTTGCCTTTGACCGTCTTTACAACAGCAATGGGCACAGTTGTCGTTATATGGATCCTATTTTTTATTATTAGATTAGCTTATAATAGAAATAAACACAGGAAGCTGGTGACTATTCTCATGTCCTATAGTAAATTTCTATGTTTTGTTGAAAGAGAATGAAGAATATTGTATTATTTTGAAGGGAAGAAGATCTGTATTAAAGGATTGTTGTGCTATAGCTGATAATACTGTATTACCACCAGAAACAGTTGTTCCACCATTTACATATTTTGAAGGTTCGCCAGGTTAGTTATTTACTGTAAATAGCTTTGTACGTGACAAGGAGTAGGGTCGCCTGTCCAACCTCATGGGTTTTCTCCGGGTCCTCTGGTTTCCTCCCACTGCTAAACGAATTATTGAAATAAAATTAAACCATATGTTAGTCCTGAAATGACCTAGTTTGTGTCGAGTGGACGTTAAACCCCATTTCTCTCTCTCTGTGTAAATAGCTTGTAAAGGGAGATAAGAACATCAGAATATTTACAACACCGACAGCTTTATATGATTTGATTCTGTGCATTAATATTTTAATATTAAAATTGCTCATTATTAATTATAACAGAGTTTATCGACATTCAAATTGTCATTTGAAGCATAATGGATGAATTATCCATTTCAACCCTAAAATAATTAAGGGACCATTAAAATGGGTTTGTTTGTCCATCTGTCTGTCACACTTTTGGGATACAATAAATCTGATTCTCATTCATGTGGTAGATTGTTCAAATTAATGTTAATTGAGTGTGAGTGATGAAACATTTTGCATAGTTTCATTTCATCAATACCTTGACAAAAGTCAGTAAGAGTAATTAATGAGTTATCTATCTAGTTTGAGGTTGAAGCAGACGGCATCAACATCGCTGTTGGATTTTGTACATTATTGTAGATTGACTAGTTATGATGTATATCATACTGACTAGTAATGATGTATATTAAACTGACTAGTAATGATGTATATTATAGTAATAACATATATTTAATTACAGGAAGATTTACAACAGAATTACCAGAATCTACACAAGAATTAATGATCAATATAACTGTAGGTTTTTATGAACATTTTAAACCTATAGGAAAACCTAGAGGCCGATGAAAGAGGACCGGGAAGATTGTTACTTTAACAAAGAATTGGGGACTTGGTAGTTATTTATTATAATATTCCATCTGTGCTTTTTTCTTTATGTCAAGTACAGTGAACATCTGAATCCGTGCTATTATATGTATATGCAAGTACAGGGAACATTTGAATCGGTGCAATATGGCTTTAATAGTGGTGGTAGATATTTGTTGATTCTGTTATTATTTTATCACATTACTTGGACATCAGGCTTTGAATTCAGGGTTCCATATTTATGTACCCACAGGAGAAATGTACGAAGATCTAACAAAATAATGTCAGTTGGTTGCTTAATGTATAAATGTTGTCCGAAGGGGAGAACAGTCAGTCTAGTATACTTTGTTAAATACTCATTGCCATGTCTTGCTATATTATTGCATACATGAAGGTAGTAAGCAACAAGGGGGTGGGAGAGACGGAGAGAGAAATGGAGTTTAACATCCACTCAACACAAACTAGGTCATTTCAGGACTAACATATAGTTCAATTTTATTTCAACAATTCGCTTGTGCGTAGGGGTCTTTAGCAGTGGGAGGAAACTGGAGGACTCGGAGAAAACCCATGATGATGTTGAACAGGCTGGGTTGGATGGCCGAATGGTTAGCGGGTGTGTGCTGTATCGTAAGGTCTGTCATTGAGTCAACTGGCATGGTTTCATTTCCCCGGCTGTACGTGACAAGGAGTAAGGTCGCCTGTCCAACCTTGTGGGTTTTCTCCAGGCCCTCCAGTTACCTCCCACTGCTAAAGACCCTACACATAAACGAATTATTGAAAATTGAGCCATATGTTATTCCTGTGTCGAGTGGACGTTAAACCCCATTTCCCTCTCTCTCTCTCCAAACAACAAACTTGACAAGTATTATGGTTTAATCTCAGAAGTGACATAATCTGATAACATAAAATATTACTGAACCCTGAAAATAAAGACTGTTGTGATTGTGTCAATGATGTGCAAAATATTATTTTATAAGTAGAATCGAGCAGTACATTTAAAAAATAGTTATAATTGCCCTTGATACCACGCCAGCAACTTTCTCTGTTATTGTAGTTATGTAAACTTGAAATTATTTTATTGATTATGGAAAAAGCCTCCTGATTTTCTGCAAGGGTATATTGTTCTTTATTAAATTTTGTATTTTGTTAAAAGTTTGTGTCATTTTGATTATATGTACTGTAATTAAGATCATGCCATATCCTAAACTTTGTAAACAATCCTTTGTTAGTGATATAATGGTGGTTTCATACTTTCACTACATATTTTAATTAGAGAGCCATGCTCCAAATTTAAAGGGAAATCCCTTTTGCAACAAATGACCTATTTTTCAATAGACATGCTTTCAAACAAAGGATGAATGAGCAAAATGTGAAACATTTAGTTTTTTTGAAAGAGAAGTTGTAAGCATGCTGCTAGATTATTGAACACAAGCTAGAACTAATGCTGCATTTCATGGTTGCATGGTTTGGTCCTTAATCAGTATGTACAGAATATGAATAATGTATTTACTGTTTGCACTACAATAATTTAATTCATGTAACAATTACGAAAACTGTAATGGATTAATGATGATGACATAATTCATTCATACAGAAATAAAATTTCTTTGTAAAAGTTGTGTTATTTATATTGCAATAAGGACTAAGACTAGTAATTATTTCCCCTTATTTCATGATGGCCGAATGTAGTGCGAGTTATAAATAGACAATTTTTCCCTTAATTTTTTTCTCTCCTCTTCCGGCATTTTTTGGTTGACTTTTTGGTCTATAATTGGACAAAAGGGATCAAATTTGCAATTTCATAGCAGTTTGGGGTAATACTGATGATATTACAGCAGAGGGATAGGGGGTGTAAAGTGTCTTTCTGCAGACCAATCATTGTGTCGGAAGTGAGATTTTCACCCCAGTAAAAAATCTAAACGGTCAACCCCCTACAACATTGGGGGGTTGGATGGCTGAATGGTTAGCGTGCGTGCGCTGTATCATAAAGTCTGTCATTGATTCGACTGGCGTGGTTTCGAATCCCTGGTTGTACGTGACAAGGAGTAGGGTTGCCTGTCCAACCTCGTGGGTTTTCTCTGGGTCCTCCGGTTTCCTCCCACTGCTAAAGACCCCTACGCGCAAGCGAATTATAGAAATAAAATTAAACCATATGTCAGTCCCGAAATGACCTGGTTTGTTTCGAGTGGACGCTAAACCCCATTTCTCTCTCTCTCTGCCTACAACATTATGATGAGGAGACTGCCAAATGTGATCCCCGTTGTGCCTATAAAGATTGGAACCAACAGAATGTTGAGTAAAAAGCTACAGCCTGTGCCTATAAAGATTGGAACCAACGGAATGTTCAGCAAAAAGCTACAGTCTGTGTTGTTGCAGCCATTTAACATTGTAGTCAATGGGCAAATAATTGCTAGTCTGAGACCATGAAGAGAAAAAGAAAATAGAGGTTGTCTCCCATACAATGTCTATAGGTTTGTGGTGATTGACGGAAGACTACTGTGCTGATGACCTGCTAATATGTTATTTTCTATTCGTTATAATAAAATTTACAATATCCATCATTATACTACCACTATTCGATAACTGCTATTAAAATCTATTATTTTTGAAAATCATCTATACGAAAACAGCTGTTCCGGTAACGGATGCGTACCATCATAATTTATCGTAAATTATAGTTATACTAATTTGACGTGTTACAATATAATATTTCGACAAACATTTTCCTAGTAATGACAACTAAGATTTTAATAGAGTATAGTGGTGCTCTTAAGGGGACATAACTTGCGTGCGACGTGAGTAATTCGTGATTTTTGGCAGTGGAGGCTATTCTATAAGTTGAAAAATCATGCTTTCTGGCTAATGTTGGTATTCCATATTTTAAGTGTGCAGTTTGAAACGTCTAACGTAAACCTTTTCAAATGAAACTTCGATTTAAAAATATTTTCGAACCCTCTGGACAAGTAAAATAGGATGTAATGGGTAATTTACACAACAGGTAGGACACTTAAACATCTAGTACTTAGATAGAGATGTTATTTATTTTCTGGAGCTTTCAAGCCAGCAAGAGTGTTATTGTCCCTTTAAGGTAAGACACCTAAGTATTTTTACTTAACTTTAGAAAAACCTTTGAATACGGACCCAGGTATTTTTGAAGTCAGTTTCTCTGAATCTTCAAAGGTATGGAGGTTTACTAGAATATTTCGTCCCAGAAATTCCCTAGGGTATATTCTGTTAAAAAGGTAAATCATTTAGCCTTTTAAATATGCATTTATAACTTCTTTATCCAAAGATGTGTAAAAAACATTAAAACAAAACCCAAAACATTAAACATTCCCGAAATACATATATTCGAGAGGGAAGTCAATAAGTTCATAGAAGTGGATATAAAACAGAAGCCAGTGGTTGTGATATTGATTTTATTTTTCAATATAATCTCCCTGGACCTCGATGCACTTTGCCCATTTGTCGTTGAGACTGTCTATGCCCTTGCGGTAGAAGTCTTCTGACTGGCCCCTCTGCCACGCCAAAGTATCTGCCTTGAGTTCATCATCATGACCAAATTTTGTACTACGCAATTGTGATTTCAAATTGTGAAAGAGATAGAAGTCGCTTGGGGCCAGATCTGGTCTGTAGGGGGCATGGTTAAGTTGTTCAAAGCCACGTTGAAGTGCAGCCTATGCAATACGACTCTTGTGCACTGGAGCGTTGTCATGAAGAAGCGTAACTCCAGCAGTCAACATGCCGCGCCTCTTCTTCTTGGTCGCCGCTCTCAATTGCTTCAACAAGTCAGCACGGTAGGATCCTGTTATTGTAGCTTTAGGTGGTTTATAGTCTATAAGTAGGGGAGACCGGGGCACATTGAACATATGGGTACAATGAACCACCATGGATATATCCTTTATAAATAATACTAGGCAACCCAAGACTACACAGAAGTGAGATAACTTCTTAGACCTATTTCCCCGTCGATAAGCAGTAGCAACATGCTGTCAATTATTTTTTAGGCAATGATTTTTTCAAAAGAGCTCTTAAAAGTGAAAATGCACTACTTCCACTTATCATTTTCCATACATGTGAAGTGTTTAGTCTAGGAAATTCTTGTACTTAAAATCAGTTCATATATGTCTAATCTACAATCCAGATAAACAGGGGCTTGATCCATAGAGAGCATATTGATTTTTTTTAAAATTTTGATCATGAAACTGTGATGGATTAGATTGAACCACTGTCAATGGGGTATTTTGAACCATGGTTCAATGTACCCCAGTGCATTATAGACTATATATCATATGATAATTTATTCAGCCTAGGAAATTCTTGTACTTACAATCAGTTCATATCTACAATCCAGATAAACAAGGGCTTGATCCATTTTTGGATTTTTTAAAAAAATTTTGATCATAGAACTATGATGTGGCAGATTTAATTGAACCACTGTCAATGGGGTACTTTGAACCACTGGTTCAATGTACCCCAGTGCATTATAGTTTTTATATCATTTGATAATTTGTAATATCTTTGAAAATGAAAACAATATTAGAATATCAATTGATCCAACTCTGTAGGCCTGTCATATAAAAGGAATTAAAACTTCATGGGAGCAGTGTTCGAAACTTGGCTGTGACATACAGGGGCGCTATGGGTCTCCCTGACTAAGAGTCGCTTGTCAGCAAATCAGGCTGTCCAAATTTAGACAGAATATTGGACAAATTTTAGTTTGATTCACTGCAAAAGTTGACTGGGATCCCACTATATCCCACCAAACTGCCAACTTAGGTGCAATTTACGGCAATCGTTGCACGGATGTCAAATCTGTGGATATTTGTTCTTAACTAAACACTGATTGTTTGCAGATTCATTAGATCACTACGAAACAAGTGACTAGGTTTGTGATCCATATCCAGATCTATGTTTAACATGGAATTTTTACCACTGTTCAATGTGCCCCATTATGTCGTTAAATCTGCCCCGACTATTTTGTACAGCGGGGTACATTGAACATTACGGTCAAGTGGATTAAAATGTATTTTTTAAAAAAAGTTAAGAATTAATTGAATTGAATCTGATACACAATAGCAACTATGATATGTCTTCAAACAATACAATAAAGTAAAGAGATCTTCTAATAAAAACATTTGATATGGAAGGAGGACAACCATGTATTTGAAAAAACTGGTTCAATGTGCCCCGGTCTCCCCTATCACGCCCCTTGAATCCCAGAAAATGGTCGCTATGATCTTGCCAGCAGAAGGCTGAGTTCTGAACTTTTAGGGTCAAGGAGGGTGCTTATGCTCCCATTGCATGGATTCTTTCTTGGTGTCAGGATCCCAGTGATGAATCCACGTTTCATCCCCTGTAACCAGATGCCCAAGAATTCACGACTGGATTCAACTCTCTGGTGTCGATCTTGTGCATTTAAGTTTCGTGGCACCCATCTTACAGAGACACCTTGGATATGTGCAAGTGCTCATGAATTATGGTGCAAACACTTCCATGAGAAATGCAAAAACACCGAAAATATCTCGTCCATCTTTATTCTACGATCGGACATAATTAAGCCCTGGACCCGTGCAACTATATCATCTGTAATGGCTTCAACAGGCCTTCCTGACCGTGGGTCATCGTCCAAGGAGATACGACCCCACTTAAACTCAGCTGACCATTTCGCAACAGTAGAATATTGAGGGGCTTACTTCCCATACACATTGGTCATACGTTTATGTTTTTTGGTCGCATTCACCCCTTCTTTCGTGAGAAACTTGAAAACCCGCACGATGCTCAGTTTTAGAACTTTCCATGATTACAGGAGGGTACCCGTGTTCAACAGGCTGTAAATCTCTGTCTGTAAACTGTCGTCATATGGCCTATCTCAATAATGACATCCACGATGATGTCTTCAGGGGTGTATCAATACTCACCTCTATGAACTTATTGACTCCCCCTCGTATATTTCTTAATTTATCGCGGACATTCAAGATCGCTAGGTACTGTTCTGTTGAACATAAATAACTTCCATCATACAATTTAAACAAAGCTTTAGCATACATGTTTGGAAAAGTAAATAATTAAAGGGCGTATAGCTCTATTCTTTGGAACCTTATGAGTCAAAAACATATATTAATGTAACATGAATGCATATTAAATTTTGTATTGTTATTTTAAATCAATTATCTTCGTTGAAATAAGCGAACTTTTCAAATCGAATGGTAGTCGTTTCTGCACTGACTTGTAGGGTATATTTTGCTTTATTCATACTAAATGAAGAACCCGGCATCGGGAACTGATTTTAAATGTTCAATGTGTCCTAAATATTGGATATAAGAAATCCACATTTTCACGATAAGGTAACAGCATCAATATTAATCAAAATGAACAATAATTCGTGTTTTTAATTTCGAATATCATGGATAAGAACGGTTAGAGCTATACTCCCTTTAAGGTTTCAATCGATGTTTGGGGGGTTGGATGACCAAATGGTTAGCGCGTGTGCGTTGTATCATGGGGTCTGTCATTGAGTCAACTGGCGTGGTTTCGATTCCCCGGTCGTACTGAAAAGGAGTAGGGTCGCCTGCCCAACCTCGTGGGTATTCTCCGTGTGCGTTGTATCATGGGGTCTGTCATCGAGTCAACTGGCGTGGTTTCGATTCCAGGTCGTACTGAAAAGGAGTAGGGTCGCCTGCCCAACCTCGTGGGTATTCTCCGGGTCCTCCGGTTTCCCCCACTGCTAGAGACCCCTACGCGCAAGCGAATTATTGAAATGAAATTGAACCATATGCTATATGTTAGTCCCGAAATGACCTAGTTTTGTCGAGTGGACGTTAAACCCCGTCTCTCTCTCTCGCTCTCTCTCTCTCTCTCTCTCTCGCTCTCTCTCCTTTCAATCGATGTTTACTTAGGGAAGAGTCCAAACAATTTGAACGCATGTAACCATACAAAAGATATATCATATTAGTCTCAGAATATCCACAGCATTGTCAAAATGAGGCAATCTAGGACGAGGTCGAAAAATAGTCTTGTGGGACCACCTCCCAGAAATTGAGAATAATCCATCCCAATTTAGTAAAAATGGAACTTTAAAATGTAGTTCGAGACACCCCTAACGATTCTCGGTCTAATTATAGTATATTCATTAGGTAGAAGAAAAGCTGTCCAAACTAATTACGGGTCGTGACTGTGCTTCCAGTCTGAAGGTTTAATGTAACTAGAGTGTGGTGTATAGAAGATATGCACACATTTAATACCCCTTTTGAGTACATGTGGGTTGTTTATTTTAAACATACCAACCTGTTCCACGACAATAGAGATCTATTGCCAATTATTAAAGATTCTTTATGTAAAATTTAGATAAAGAGCTGACCGTGATTTAGGGTTGGCCAGTGCATAACGTTGGCACCGTTCTGCTGTAAAAGTCCTGAGTAACTCTGGCAGTGTGGGCACGGGCGTTGTCATGCTGGAAAACGTTGTTTCGATGACGTGCGAAATGTGGTATGACCTGGGGTCTGAGAGCTTTATCGATGTAGTGCACAGCTGTGGTGCCACCTCCTCTCCCTGGACCAAGATTTTGGAACACCACAGGACCCACTCTCTGGTTCAGTCCGATTCCACTCCATACCATTATGCTTGGACCTTCCCATGAGTCTCGCTCAATGACACATTGGTCAGAATAATGCGTGCCACGTCGACGCCATATTCTGGTCCTGCCATCTGCAGTTGATACGCAATACCGACTCTCAGCTGTGAACAGGGCAGTTCTCCATTGCCTGTGTCGCCAGTTGGGCAAACTGTAGACGTTAACGTCAATGGCGAGGGGTGAGGATCGCTTCACGGTAAGGTCTACGGCAATGGATGTTCTCTCTGTGAGACCTCAGCGCACTGTATCGACACTGATGGGTCTTCCGTGTGTTCACACTGTCTGACGTGCTGTCTCAGATGCCTGTGTCTCACAACATGGCGGTCTTGTCGTCTTGTGATAACCCTTGGTCTACCAATTCGGGGGCGATTGTCCGCGGTGTTGGTGGCCCGAAAGCGTTGCTGAAACCTGTAGATGGTCCGAACATTGACCTGGAAGAGATTGGCAACGGCTTGGGCAGTGTGGCCAGCGTCGAGTCTTCCAATCTGTACTCTGAGCTGTCGTGAGTCGTAGCATGCTGCTGACGTTGTAGTGTGAAGGATTCAACCAGGTATGGAGGTGCATTTTATAGGGCTGGCCCCGGTGAACAGCACGTGCAGCATGGAGAACACATTACCATCTCAGACGTCAGGTTGCGTTTTTGAGAAAATTTCCTGAGTTCAATTCTGTGTTTGGGAAGGAGCCCCATTGCTCAGGTAAAGTTTGAGATGTGGTCACAAATATATACAATGAAACATTTGGCATGTTTCATGCAATGCGTCTATTCAGAGTAACATACCAACCTGACGTTTCTTTTGCTGCTTAGTATAGCTAATTTAAAATTAAGTAAAACAAAGTATCAACCCAGTCGAATGATGCAGTGTGTGTATTTCTGGTGAAACCGTGGTCCGGTGTTGGCCGAGAAAGTTCCTTGGGATTTTCCAGCATGTTTTTCCTTGTCAAGAACGGAGGCCCTTGCAAGGAACTGCGCATAGTCATTCGAATGGGAGGAAAAAAAGGGGTCACATGTGCACATGTCAGTCCTACATACATGTATGTACATTATCGTATCCAATTTGGAACTCGGCATAGGAGCATAAAAGTATATATTTCATACTTGAACTGATTTAAATGGTTGTTTCCCAAACTAAAAGTTCAAGTTTAATGAATGGCCGATGCGCGGGATGACAGATTTTAAATATTTTTATCTATTATTCATCACACATGTAAATGAATATTTTTTTTGTTCCGATTGGACACTGTTATGTGCCGTCAAAAAAGATATAAGCATTCCAATAAACGTCAAATTGTGTCTCTTTTGAACCCAATAAATACTGATCAAGATGTCAACGCGGCCCTAATTGGCTTCTTAAGTGAAAGGCAACTTATTGATCGGAAGGACATTTGAACTTTTTAAGTAGTCTGTTACGGTAAAGAGACATTGCCATCAAAGGCAAAATAGTGATATATAAAAGCATTGTCGTGTGTGTTTTAAAATGTATTTTAAGGATGTAAAAGGCACCATATATTTATTTACTTTACTGGCGCTTTAGTGACCCTCCTAACAATATTTCGAAGGGCATTTGGTGTAAGGACACGCGTTATTTCCCTTGGACTACAATTTGACTAAATATGAATAATTTCTTTCAAAATGAGATGGAATTTAGCGCGCTACTTTTCTACACCGACAGGGCTAATGAAGACGGACATACGTTATGTAATGTGCTATGGAGAAATTTTGCCCGGCTGCCTTTGCTATGGTCACCTTTATTTTCGAATGCAACTGTGTAAACGGGACTTTGGTTGTCCGTCCCACCCGGGCGACTAAACATTGATTCTTGCTAGGTCGTCAGTCAGGCACCATCGAAGAGGGGAAACCATCCCGGAAAATGTCGAAGAACTTTCCCGACCAACACCTGCAGCGAACCCGAAACTTCCTAGTTACTGAGCCACGACTGCTTCGAATTTTCTTTTTAAACATGTTCATATTTATTGGGTACCGTGTCTGCCTTTTTCGTTCCATACTCAACAACAGTAGAATAATAACTGCTCCGGTAACAGACGTAATTTATATTACATACCTCACACTACTAGTTACTGTCAATACTGGCAATACTATAGTTACTGCCACTGGGTGAAGCTCTGTTCTAAAAACTGTTCTAAAGACACTGTTTTATGCAATTTTACATGGAATCCATAGCCGGTTCACAGACATTATTCTAAAACTTGTTGGCATTACGTACTGGCGTAGAACGCTAGGACAGGGGTGGATTTTTTTAGCCTCTAGAATACAGATTCTGGTGGACACGCCTTGGACACACATATCATATACTCGGATGGGCTGCAGGATCGGATCTAGATCGTTTCTAACCTAGCCGGACGACTTTGCTGATGGTGGTCGTTAATGGAGTCTGATAAGCTATGTTTATGTTTTCAAGATGTAGCCTGACAGTATAGATAAACCATCTGTTGATCCATAAAATCAATATTTTCATGGCGGCACGCATCATCATGTTCATCAATCATCCGAAAATTAATTTAAAATACAACAAAAGGCTAGATATCGTAGAAAACTCTTTATACATTTTAATAGAAGTGTTATACAGATTGACGTGTAATGATGTATATAAAACACGTGTGAATACAATAACATAATACAATGATTTATACATAGCTTATAAACACTGACAAATTTCAACATTAGTTTATCTTACAGTTAAAATTATCACTGATGATATTGCGATACCAACATTGTTTAGACTTCATAATTGTAGTTGGTTTTACAATATACTATTATATGCTGCAGTGAATATGAACATAAAGCAATTAAACCCGTGTATTAATAAATATATTATAATGTGCTTCTATTAAGATACATTCATGTGAAAGAACTCCACGTTCACTGCTGCTGAATAAAATATAATGTATTGTTTCTGTAACACATGCGGTGCTCTGGTCTTTTAGTGCTGAATTGTTTTCACCCATTCGTGTACAAACAGTTAAAAAACTAAAGAGATTAATAATTAAACTAAGCAACCATATAGTTTTACGTTACACTGACACATTTCCCACTGCTAAAACTGAACAACGATACATTACATCTACTACGCAATATCAGCAATTCACAATGTCACGAAGTTCTAATTGCAAGTTTACCTTCGAAAAAACTTAGGATTTAATCACTATGGCAAAAAAACTGAAAGTTCTGTTTTGTAATTATCGGATTTAGATATACATTTCGTTTCCTACTTTTTTCTTTGATTGCTTATGTAGACTTTAGATGGCCTCGTCTGTATATTTGTCAGACCTTGCTTAATAATAGTGGTTTGCAATCAAATTTTCAATTAGGTGAACAGATTGACACAATACTTTTTTCATATATATATATTCAATAGTATTTCACAAAATACCTTGCAATCTCTCGTGGAGTTCGGCCAAACACATAAGTTTACTGGTTAATGCCTAACGTCAACACGACAGCAGACAGTATATTAAGGATGTGGCCCAATTAATAATTAAGCAGAAATGATTAAAATTATATATAATCTTCGTTAGACTAAATAATATTGTAATATATATCTAGGCTATTCTAAGCCTCTGTTTTGGTATCCATCCATATATTATTGTTTTGCAAAAATGAACATTAAAATAGAAAAAAAACCCAGTCATTCATTTTAGTATTATGTAGAATAGATTGGTTACATATTCAAAATATCACCTTGTAGTAACACACCTGCATAAACATTTAAGTTAATGACAAAATATGAAATAATTATGTTAGATGAACATTAGCACGCATGCAAATTATTCTATGGTGGACCGAATGGGTAATTAGACTGTCTGCTTTGAAACTGAATATAAACGCAATGAAAGATTTTTTTTCCTCAAGCTTTACAAAATCTGAAAAACTAATAACTACATGTAAACGCCCTTGTCCTAAATTTTAAAAAATCTCTAATACTCTTTCATGCAAATTTCTGGGAAGATATTTTTGCCTTTAAAACATTAATTAAGAACAAGAAAAAACCGTTGATGCTTGTGTCGCTGATGTTCCGGTTTATTTCTAACTCAAATGTAAGTTGGATGGTTTGTGGGGCTTAACGTCCGCTTCCACCGAGGCTGATATCGCAGGCAAAACTGAAATGGAATTACCTGTTACTTTATGATAGATTAGAAAATGTAAGTATGCTTTAAATGAATATACATAAAAGGATAGCGAGTTTACATTAAAACTATAGCCCAGATTCTCTTAAAACAAAAAAGCAGATTAAATATTGAACAAATAAATCGTATGACTGAAATTACAAAGTTTTGTAAGTGAAAGACTTTTGGTATTAGGCAAAATATGCAGTGAAAATTCGAACAAATCTAATTTACAATACTCCGATTTGCACTTTAATACTTTCTCTCAAAAAAGCCACAAAGATTATAAACTATACAGATTACACATATACGCTTTAATTATAATACAGTAGTTCCCGTTTTTGCTTGTATAAATGAAGGCAATTGTACAATATAAAGAAATTTAAAGGGACACTGCTAATAATTTAGCATGGATTGAAACTGACGTTTTTATAATGATACTTATATATATTTTTGAAGCTAGTGCTCTGTGGGAGTAATTTATAAAAACACTGTCGATGCTGCTAATTTAAGCTTTCATAAGTAAGGTATTAGTATCAGAAAAGTCGCGAAATTGTGTGCTTTGAAATAATCACCAATAGTCTCTTTAAACCAATTTATAATTGTATGTATCCTTCATAGGGTTATTTAATCAATAATGTGTATATATAGAGATAAATATGTAATAATTTACAATGTATTATAATACAATAACTAACAATATAACATATCTCATGGTTTACTAAATGTAATAATAGGCAATAATACAGACATAGAAACGATGATAGTGGTTATGTATATAATGAAAAATATTCTATCAAAGATGAGTCCAATTGCTTTCCACTCTTTAGCCAATTTTTCTTTTCTATCTCTTTCAGATATACGTTCACGATAACTCCTAACAAAGTCCATTAGTTCCGTTAAGTGAAAGTTTATGAGTGCCAACTGGCCCGACTGTTCGTCAGATGGACTTCGTTTCATTTGAACTAATAAATCACCCGACGCCGAGGAATCTTTCTTCCATTTTTGGTCTCCGTTGATTCCCAGGAACCGCGTACTTTCAGCTAAAAGACGTGTAGTATGGTTTGTCTCCAGAAACGGCATAACTAAGTTATCCATACATAAAATTTTTGCAAAAAAACTGAAAAGAACCTGAAAAACAATTACAAGAATAAGCTGATTGTCTATAGTTATTTAATACAATGAATAGAAGGGAAGAAACGCTGTTAGTAAACATCTTCCTATCTGTACACAGTTGTTTCTTTAGAAAAATAGAGTACATGGCCATCTTTCTAAGACTATGTTCTGTAATTCCTTTATTATATAAAAATAATAATAATCATTCAATTTTACCATTTACCAGCCCAGATCATGTTATTAATCAAAGGATTAATATTAGTTCTATGACTGATAATTTGAGGGGTTTATGTACTCTTTGATCTTTAGATGTGATTTACAAATAAAGATGGATTAAATTAACCTCTGTCATAGAATGTCAAAATATAGCTCATGGGACGACCATTCTAGTTACCAGGGTCGGGAAGTCTGACGATCCGGTCGCAAGCTAATAGAATTAAGATGTAATATTTTAATACTCTCCAGCGGATATAAACAGTAATATAAAAAGGGCTTACCTTTCGTAGGCACATAGGTACGGGCCTTCTGGCACCATAGAATGATAAATTGACAACAAAGGCGTTTAAAAACGATGACAATGTAATCAGTATCATGTTAAGGCAATAATAGGTGCCTGAAAATAAATAAAAATAGGTTGTCAGTCAACGAAGCGTAACACCACTAGAAACTTTGTAATGGAAGTGTGCCAGAAATATCATTGTTTTCAATATTGTCCATAACTGCTGAAAGTGTGCCTACTCTTCTTTCCATTCCCAACCCTCCGAGGAAATTTAACGTGCTACCAATTGTAAATCAGGAATCTCGCTTTTTCGACCCAACCGAACGAGTGGACGCCGTTCTTGCCCGATCGTCCTCCCTGCATTATTTTATTGGCAAAGGGAAGTCAGGCTGGAAAATCCGGAAGATCGAGCCCGGTACCTCTTATTTGATTAAATAGTGTATACAAATTTCAAGTAGATCAGATGATAATCTTTGTCACTGATTCAAAAATGTGATCAAGGGTAACAACACAGAAATAAACTAGTAGCCAACGTGAAGAGTTCGAAAAGATCAGATGATAATAAACGATCATAATACGGACATATACAATATACAACAATAATATTAGATCAACATAAAATAATAATAATCCTCTTCAAGGAGTTAGTTGACTGTGTCTTAAATCAATCTTTTATATCATCTGATTCAATTCCAGATGGAAAATTGTTTAGGATAATATAACAACCATGACAAAAAGAAAATTCTCTTTACAACCTATTAGAACTTGATAACAAAATAAACCCGAGGCATTAAAAACACCAAATTTAATCTTCAGAATAAATTTAAAAAGTTGTCTTGATCAAATGAGTTTTGCAAAGAATTTGCTAAATTTAGCAATAGTTAAATGAGTTAACTGAAAAAAGAGAAACTTCAAAGGGAGATTTAATTTTATCAAGATATATACCGTGTGATCCCATTACGAAAAACAAAAAACGAAAATGATCACAAAAAAAGGTGAATTAGGTATAAGGGATATCAGAAGTAAAATATGTGGTCTTTTACTTTATTTAATTTTGCAAGATGAAAACGGCGGGAAAGAGCGTGCCGCATTATAAGAAATGTGTCAATACGGACACGAAATGAGGTTTAACGTCTCACCTTTCTGCACCAACCGTGCTAATGAAGACGGCCACACGTGCTTTATGGGCCATTTTTCCCGGTCAACGGAGCTACGACCTATTCGCAAACGTCCGAAGGGGAGGAGGCTGATCAGTAGGGAGGGGCGAAGGCCTGGGCATCCATCTCAGAGGTAATCTAACCTTTTGAAATTATAGCTCGCTGTTGATTTCATCTGTTTTCCTTTCTCACTTTTCTGAGTCCTAGGCCCTACATGAATCCTGGGATCATATAATAAAGGAGTTAGCGACGTGTATCACCAAACCCCTAAAAATCACTGGGCATAACAACGGTACACGCCGCAGTTGAGTTCGGTTTTAAGTACTATCCGAACGACTATAAGCTTTCCATGTCAGGCACCATTGTCTTACGGGTATGTGGGAATCATTCTGGAAACTTGATGGGACAACATGGGCTCGAACTCGCAACCTCTTGGCGGGTTCCTCATTTGTTTTATCCCTCTGCCTCATCTGATCAGAATTAGTTTCAAGTGATTATCTAGACGATTGCACGCTAAGCCAAGCATAGTAGGGGACAAGAGACCTTAAAACAGCTCGTATTTCATTCAGTTTGCCTAACGGGGGAGATTTTCCATACTCACATATAAGATTCGGGATCCGGGTTGCTGTTAATTTAATTTGTCCAGTTACAAATTGCTGGTTTACTAAGCCTACTGAGTAATACTGATTGGAATGCACATGACGTACTTCCAATAATGGTGGAAGGGTGAGATAAAATACTTATAGCGTTAGTAAAATTTTACAATGTTTTATGTTATATAGTCATGCTACAGTTTCATGATGGCTATTCCCCAACGATGATAATTCCATAATACATTTCGCATCTATCACGTTATGCAACATCTCAAGAAAGCATTAGAGGAGGTCTGTTCATTAATGTGCTAGTAGGTTAGGTATGTGTAAAGGTACAGCAAGTATGTAATCGGTGCGCAAGGACTAAAGACATACCCAATAATGGAACTGTGGCCGCAGCCGGTGGTAAGTTGGATTCCATTAGCAGTAAAAGCAGGAAAAATGCCACGAAAATATTTATACCTGAAAAGATACATAAATAATATGGGTAACATGTATAAAATATATAGAAATGTTCTGGCATAGTTCTTCTGAACCAGACGATAAGCTCTAGTTCCATATAATTAAAGCTAGCATGTATAGTCCTATCAATAATTGAAATAATGATTTATCTTGAGGCCCTGTTCATATATTAAACTAGATACAACTAACACGAAAACGCCATATTAAGTAACACTGGTAATAAGATCTTATGTTATCGTAAGAATACGTTCCTCAAATTTACAAAAAACAGAAGATGTTTCAAAGGCTAACAACGCACAATTCAAAAATATTGAGTACAAAAGACACGTATTTCAATCAAAGTTTTAATTAAATGTATCGTATTCCCGATTAAAGGTCACATACATTATAAAGTCGTCTTATTATAAACCATATTGGTCCAAACATTATGCAAATTATGATCATCTAAAGTTCCCAGTATTTTCTATTGATTTCACAACATCACCCTTTTCTGTCTTAGAACGTCAGTCGGCTATTAAGGTAATTTTGGAATCTAATCTATTTGTGTTAAATTGGAATGAGGAACATGGCTTGGGTGGTTTGGGGAAGGGGGAGAGGTCTTTAAAAGAAAAACATAACATCATTTTGGGGATTCTGTCAATAGTCAGTAATTTTGTCCTGATTTCCCAAGATTTTAGGTTAGACTGGACGTGTGTTTTTTTTATAATTTCTCAATTAACATTAACACACTGTTTGAATCTCTTTCAAAATTAATAATAAAGTTGTATATACAGGTTTGTTTCAAATGTCGAGAATAAAGAAAACTGATATAGAACCATTGGTATCAAATATGTCCGAAATGCATAGTTATTATTTATTTGAAACTTAAGCGGTCGTGATATGAAAAATAGCAAACCTGTAGACAATCATTATTTTCGGTTTACGTGTTCAATGCCAGCCTCTAGTTAACCTTATCAATATAAATCGATCAAAAACCTATATGTTATAAGGAAACAGTTCTATAATAAACCAAGATTCTAATATCCTCGCCTCGCTACAAGGGTTAATATGATCACGATGCTCTACTTCTATTATTCTGTATTTTTAAACTGGTTTATAATAGAAAGAAGAAAGCCGTCTTTGATGTGCTTAATAAATCATTTACGGCCGATAATTAAATATAGATATTAGAAAAGACAAATCTGTGCAGAAAAACTGACAAAATCTATCAATTTGTTAAAAATAAAGAGAGTGTAAACTCGAGGTCTAGCAAGTCACGCAACATTTTTTAATAAAAACTATCAAATCGCCATAGCCACCAGAATCACATGTCCCTTTTCATTAACCTTGCCTGTTTCTATCATTTTATCATTAATAATAATATAAAGGCGTGAAACCAGTTCAAAATGGGATATCGCTGCTTAGATCCAAATTAAAAAAAACGCGGGGTCACACCCTTTCGAACAAATAATTAAATCCGATTCTATATATATATTTGTCTTTACAATGTGTTAGATTTAATTATATCTAAAATCACAGCTTTCGATTGGTTCACCAGTTTATAAATCCGAATCCTACACTGAGAGGTAATCGTCTCCCAGTTCCACGAACTTCACTCTTTTGGCAAAGGTAGCTCAGTGTGCGCGTTTAAAAACAGTTTGGTGCCGAAAGACGATTGCCAGAGAATTAAACAATTTCGAAAACAATTTAAAATTATAAGAATCCATTGGACGAATGAGAAATAGTGAATACACAGAAAACTAACTTTTGAGTTGTTTTGGTTTTTCGATATAAGAACATGGAAATTGTCGATAAGAAATATATAAATATAAATTTTGGCAGCCATTATGTCACGTGTTACAGCACAGTAGAGCAGTAAAACATCAATCAATCAACACCGCATTCCACAGGAATATCAGATAGCAATGTTGTTGGTAGACAATACATTTAAGTATTCTAGAATCCCAGAAATTATTACAAATATAGGCTTACATCGATCATATCAAGTCCTTAACTAAATAACAATTCAACAGTTACACAAAAGTCATAGATAGCATGAAATTCACACAAAACGTAGCGTAGCTTTTGTAATCTGATTAAGTACAAACTACACAATTTAACAATACCAGTAATTACTCCAAACCCCCAGAAAATTCTAAAAATACTACCGATAATCGATCAAATCAACTCTTTAACAAAATAACTATACATTTAATACAACGGATCATAGAGTGCTTAAAAAGCTCATTAGTTTTTCTTTGTAATGTACTTCATACAAAAGGTAGCGTAGATTGTGTCTTCTGATTAACTACGAATTAATTAATGACCCTATGGCTGTATTCCTACTAATTTGTATGACTACTAAAATGTACTGTTTAACTGATTATGAAAATACTTTCGCATGTCCATTTCATGTCCATTATATGGAAATTCTTTGATGTCAATTAGGGTATTAATATAATTCCAATTCAGATCTTAATCGAAAACGCTGTTGGAGTTTGCGTTTCAATTGATCGCATCGTCTAACGAAAACAATTGGTTTCTAATGATTCGTTGAAGAGATTAACGCAGGTATTATTGGAACACACTCCACACTGTTTTGTTGGTATGTAAATGGTATGTTTACGATTATCAATAAATGTATCGATTATTTCTAGTATTCCCCAAACGCTTAGTCGTCGGTAACGACTTAATATATATTTTACTCGGTCTTTTCAGGAAATCCCATTGAATATATCTCGTATGTAGGGATTTGAGTGGTAGTGACAAACACAGTTTTAAAACTCCCCATTGTAATATTTAATTTGTACAAAGGGTGAAGGGTTAATGGATAAACACAATCTGGTTATGATTAGTTTACGTATCAATATCCCCCAGGTTGTCTAACAATAGGGATATTAATAAAGTGTAATAATCCAAATACCATAGCACTTCTCTAAATGTATTCAGTTCTACCTTTAGTATGATAAATAACATGCAATGTTTCAAACAATATATGTAACATTAATCCATTTACCAAAAAGATACAAAACGTACGAATCCTATATGCATATTATGGTGAAAATACATCATCTCTAAGGGATATCAATGTTGTTTTTAAAGGGGAATGTAAGACAACTGCCACCAAAAGCACCCTATCAAACAACCATTGTTTCTAAAACAGTTTATCGGGAAAGTACAGGTTAGAAAGGCCCCCGGTTTTGGGAGTCAAAATGCATATCATATCTCAAAGACTTTGTTAAAACAGTTTTTTTTTATCGCGTTTAAGACCACTCAGATGTTATATCTACCGAGAACATGCTGATAGTTTTAACATTATCTGAATCAATTTGTTGCTAGGTACATGGGATAACAGCACAGAGAAGCGATAATTAGACACGAAAGCCTGGATCTTTAGGGTGGTATTTTGAACATAATTTGAGAAGACGGCTGATGTACGAATACATATTGTATCAACACTTATGTCTCTCTTTAATCTACATTAGCATGTAGGTTAGACAAGTTTTGACAAGTTTGGGTGTTCATGTTTCATCACCATCTCAAATGCGCGGAATGATCAAGGTAACTGCTAATGAATACCTACCCCACTGCAGATTGTCTTAAAGCACACACGGGGGCTAAAAAGTAAACCAGAGGCAAATGTGTGTCATATGAATTGAATTTTATCCTCCTTGTTTTAATACCAAATACCAATCTACATATATAATGTTCATTCCACATTCTAATATGTCCAAATAGGCGAACATCAAAATAAATTTTGCAGAAGATATGCGTTTGCATCGAATCGATTGGCAAAGTCTTAAAGATACATTATGTAAGATTTAGATAAAGACCTATATATAGCCATTCTTGCTATAATAGTTCGAAAATAGATAATGTAAAATGAATAATTTGAAAATTTCATTCAAATTACTCTATTGCGAGCGAAGAGATTCGCCTTTGAATGTTTGACAAGACGTGTGCAATAATTTCAACCACCGTACTGGTTGTTTGGAGCTAAGTCTCGCTCCCCCACTTTTAAATTAAATCAAAATATGGCTGAACCGTTCTAATCTATTTAATATCGGAGAAATCCGATGCTATCGAGAGTTGATTATGGCCTGGATCAGTTAATTAATGTCTAATTAATGTCTAATTAATAATTTAGAAAACATTTCAGGCCTAAAGAAAGACCTGCAATAGGCAGATTTAGCTCTTGCATAATGTATGTTTAAAAAAAACCTATTATCAGTAATAGTCGCATTGCCAAATAATAAACACCAGTAAAATGGCCCCATTTTGGAAATCATAATATTTGACGATTTGTCCTTGATAAGGTTAACTCAATAAATAATGATCAAAAATGTCCAGTCACTTTCCTGTTGTCCGCAGAGAAACAACTGCCTCTGTATTTAACAGTAAACAAACTACCAAATTTCGTAGATCCCGATTCTATTCAGATTCAAATTAGCAGATAAAGAATCTCCCTCGACTGAATGCGATGGATGACAGCTTTTTATGACAGTGTCTTTGTTATTCTGCTCAACATTCAATACAATAATATTTCCTTTTTAGAACACCCGCAAGAATTTGAACCTTTGTGAACCTTTATATATATTTTAAAACTGCGATAAAACTGAAGTTACAAGAAGCACCGATAAGTCTTATTAGTCTTTTTTCAAAACGAAATGAAACAAACTTTAAAAACTGTTTCAGAAATTTTAAATTGAAAGCACAGAAATGAAATCTGGTAGAGGGTTTAAAAATTAAATAAATACATTTTACAAGAGACTTTCTATACTTCAAACGAAACTTTGCAAACATCTTGCTCAGCCATTGATGCTGGTGAAAATATTTATATTCTACTTCAATTACTATTACTACTATTGACCCTTGCCAAAGGGTATGTAGATACATATCTAATTATCGTGTAATAACACGTCATAATTATCATTGCCATCTCTTTGATGTCTCCGCAATCATAGATAGAACGACAATAATTAACTATAGGCTTTAACACTAATAAAATATATACCCTCTTCAAAATAAGAAACATTGTCATATTGAATATTTATATTTAAAAATATCACTGTTCTGTACGTATTTATTTATTGGTACTATAACTAAAATACTATAATAATCCGTTGTCTAGATCATATTACTTTCAATTGCACATATATTATACACCCTACCCACAAGTAAGCCCCTTTGGTTTGTTTTTGTATCCTATCCGTGATGCCTTTAAAATAAATAATGTTTAAACCAAACCAAATCAACATATTATACCTACTAAAATCGACAACTTTTCTTTTACTCAAATCTAGTCATTTTAAGTTCAAACGTTTGTCACCATTGATATTATAGATACGTTATCTTTAAGGGGTGCTTACACAAGTCACGGGTAAGGGACGAGACTGGATTGTGACCAGGGCCATGTAAAAGGCACACTAGTTCACGCGTCCTAAAAAAACAAAATAAATTCCACCATAACATGCTTTCAGATGGCCATAAATGATTATAACTTAAAGAGTCAATTGCATTTTGATCAATGGTCATCATTCGGTGCCACACAAAAACAAATTCTGGTGGATTTGGGTGAATAACGAATAACAAAACACGACTTAACTTCACACTGCCATTTAAACCATGGAAATGTGACTGCTGCCAGTTATTGCCATCTATCGCTTTATGACTAGCGACGCGCGTCGTGCACAACTGTTATTAAAAAATTTGCAACGCCATCTCATCTGAGAAGTTCACAACCGCTAAACAAAAATCGTAGGCCCTATTACTAAAACCAGATCTAAATGAAACAAAACAAAATACTTTCTTATTTTCCCGACATATCCAACGAATGTAACGGCGATTTAATAAATTCACATGACTTCCCTTGCTATAAACAAAATAAATCTGTCTCGAGTCGATCCATTGAACAAATTTAAGTCGCAGAATCAGAGGTTATAAAAAAACCCAGATTTGACAACTGACTGGAGACGACAGAAAACGCGTATTGTTTATATTGTATAAAGTATATCACTTTTTACATTTTATAATATTTGATTGATGCAGGATAAATAGATCGAGTGAATGCACACAATCATTATCGACTTCCAACGTTGGAACATTTCAATACATATATTTATTATTAGTTTTCGAGGTTTCTGCTTGTCTGAGCTATTGTTATTCATCTATTTTAAATCCATTTGCAGATTGTGAATATATTTCACAAGGAACTGTGCAAAAACGAAATATAAAACAATTCTGTTGGCAAGATAACCCTAATACTGCGCAAAAAACCCCACAAAAGTTCATGGACATACTTGATTAGCCGATATAATTATTTCACCGTGACATATTACGCCATTCATAATGCAAAGTGTAGTGATTGATTAGATTAGACTAAACGTTCAACAGTTTTCTTTCTTGAACTTGAGACTGCATGGTCTTAATTTAGAAACTCGTAGCTCAAAAGAGGTTGTTAACCTCTGAAAATAAGCCCTTTATATCACGCAGTGTATTTTGTGATCTACGCATTTCTATTACAGCATGTTGAAAAGCGAAAACTGCTCTAATCTCAGAACTGATTACAATGTGTGTGATATTGTGGGATTTAGCCTGGGATGAAACGATCAATATTTGCATTTTATCGTAGCATCTAGAATAGCAGTAGTTAAAGGACCATAATTGTTTAAGTCATTATTACATATGTCACAGAACTGGTAAAACATGTTCCAAATATAATTTCAACACCGAGATGTGTTTAACCAGTTCTGTCACATATGTAATAATGGCTGACACCAATATTGTCCTTTAAGATTATGCTAACCATGAATACAGTCGTAAAATACACGATGGGTCATCGACTCTAATATGTGAAAGTGTTGATTAAATTCTTAAGATTAACAATTAGTATTAAATTTCTGTCAGCCTTCGATGATTTTCTTAATTGACTTTAAATATGGGTAGCTTTAAAAGAACAGAAACAAATATTATGGTTTATTTAAAATCTACTTTTCAGTAAACCATGGTTTAAATTGCATTAATGGTTACGATTGAAAGTACAGCAATTGTTTGAAGTTTTCATGATTCCATAATAAGCAAACAAAAGCATATCCGTCGACGAGTTTCAATCAACGTATAATTTCCTTTTAATATGATTACATTGACATCGCAATATAAGAATCATACTGTACGACTTGCTTATTTAACTTGTAATTGTAAAGAGAAAGCCGCGCTTTACACACGATGGTGGCAGATTCGTGTTACGTCTCATTCGCAATTCACTCCTTTATCGATGTGAATCGTCTAATATGATTAGCTTCGATTCTGTTTTCAAAAAATAGTGTTAGTCTTCTGATGTATCTCGAATGGGTTCGTCGGAGTTCAAACTCATTTCCGTGAAAAAAGGAATTGAAAGAGAGTCAGGGAAATGTTGTTAGTCAATTCGGTTGTGTGCAACTGAATAACATGGGGAAGCGTTTAGTTATGTGTTTTGATAGACAAATTGCTAACTTGCTTGCGGCCTATAAATTGTCTGACTACAGTCTTTCGTAAGCTCACAACTGGGCCAGTTTATAAAATTTGTCTCTAATTTGCTCCGTTTCAGACAAAAAAATCAATTGGAGCAAAAAAGGTAACCGTTCTGAAGATAGCGTTGATATTCTAGATGTGGGAACTGTGATGTAACCAAACACTTATAAAACTGACAAATAGTTTCTTTACATCCTTCATCTAACTTTCTACGTCTACCCAAAGATGAAGGTTCAAGCTGTTCAAATAGGAATATGAATTCAGTTTATTAAACATAGTTAAGATAAGGCTACTGATTGCCACCATTCGTTAAATACAACTAAGTAGAGAAGCGAAGATTGAACCTCGTTGCCTCTACAGTTAATGTAGTCATTTTATTGAAAATATATAAAATCAATGATTTCTTCCCAAAAATGGTTATTATGGCAGAAATATCTAATATTTATTGATTCGGCACTTATTGCTACAATTCCAACTTAATCTTCGATAAAGCTATTTTATAATGATTTTTTTGACTTAAAGGTTCTTTTGAGCATACCTAAAAGGCGTACATGTGTATCAAACATTTTATAGTACCCAAGCAGACACGCGGGCCTAAGCCAGTATACAGAATACATTTCAACGTATGATTTCAAAACCCATGCTTTGTTTTTAATTTTTCAGATAACCGCGAAGGGCTCTTTAGATGTGGAAGGGAACTGGAGAACTCAGATTTCACCACAAGTAACTTTAATTATTTCCATGCCCAATCAGACCTTCCAAGAGCACATACGTACCAAGCATTACTGTTACGGTTTATCCTGCGATAAACATAATTACCCGAAAAATGATTAAACCTTTGCAATGGGCTGTAACCACTGGTGCAAATGTATACTTATATTCCGTAAATACTTTTTGTACTTAACTATGAAACCACTCCTATCAAACATGGACACAAACAAGCTTGTTATTAACGAACTTTGACAGACCGCAGGGCTTAATTTAACAGACGTGGCGATGGTTAAATTATTTCAAAGAAAGAAAGCTAATTTAAGAATTCACATGATGAAAAAAACACCACCGTGAAATGTTCTGAGGTCAACTTTGTCAAATTAACTTACCCAACATTAATTTAGCTGGCGATTCTGGTGGGATCCAAAATAATACTAAAGTCAGCGATGTAAGTAACACACACGGTAAAATCAGAATATAGTTATAAAATGTTGAACTTCTTTGAAACACGAGTGTAAAGGTTAGGTCAACATAAGGTACCGGACAACATGTGTACGTAACAACGTTCCTTACTGCTGGAGATCTAATTATCGTCCACGAGTTACTTGGCACATATTCTGACAAATCAATTTCAGTTGCGTTGTCCAATACTGCTAGATCCACCTTAGTACCATCATACGTCCACGAGCCAAATTTAAGGTGGCACTTTTGAATGTCAAAAGGAAACGCAGAGACATCGATGTAACAGGAACTTCTGTAAACAGCTTGTGGCATCCAAACAACTGTACCAGTATTACTTATAACACACAGAGCTTCACGATGTTCCTCCAAACGGAAGTCTGCACTGAAAAAGTATTTGAAAAAATATTGTGGTATTTAATATTAGGCAACATATTATTTAATGCAATAATACAAAATCATTGCTTAGGCATTATATGGGTATTTTCACTAAACCATAAGTGTCCTGGCCCTTGTATTTAGCTAATACGAGTCTATCATGCTGCCTGAATTTTGTATTTGTGCATTGACGAAAACCATGCATAAAGCCATGTGCAATTACATATACTATCGCATCGTTTTAATAATGTATTTGCATAATATCGAGTTATGTATAATCTGTAATGATTAAAGGTATATATACATGAACTGAATATAATATATACACTCATTACTGACAAGAACGACAATACTTCTCATTTAGGAAAACACATCTTTCATGCCACGAGTTTCGTTCCGTAATGTCTAAGAGTAAATTTGTATTGTCTGTTTAAAAATTTTGTAATTTTAATTTTTTCTCAGTAGGTTCGAGTTACCTACCGGTATCGTAATGGCGTAAATGAAATGAAATGAAATGGGGTTTAACGTCCTACTGTTCTGCTCCTAACCTGGGCTAATGAAGACGGATGGCGTAATGTTGTCTACTCAAATAATGAACTTCAGGACTAATTATAAACATTATTAGCCTTTATCCCAAATGGAGAATATTACCCTAATATGAACAAATCCAGGACTAATTAAACAGAATATTGGCCTTTATCCCAAATTGAGAATATTACCCTGATACGAACAATTATATTTACTGATCCTAATGGCGTTCGAGACTTACCCCCAGAAACTATCGTACACCCATTATAAATATATTGATCACATGAATGTAGAATATATTTGGACGTAAAAAAGCGAATCTTAGTTATTTCATCGGTTATCGTCTCTGAATTCATACCTTGAAACACTTACTGGGCCTCATAAAACTTATTTCATACTTTGAGCTGTCTATCGACCTGTTCTGTATGACTTGGTTTTATAAAGCCATAATCTACTTTATAGGTTTGATACACATACTTCCTACACGAATCTACATCGGGAGGTTAGCTCTCAAGAAATTTGGCACATGAACTGTGGTTCAATCCGGGGGTATTTGGATTGAAGGTCGTCCCAGTAATCTTAAGCAATTCTATAGATTATCTTCAGTCTAGAAAGTTGATCTATGGGCTTTATTATTCAACTAGTGGTAAATTTACTTTTCTGATAGACAAATAGATATTTTAGGAAGAGCTGGAGGAGATTTTACAATTTTGGCTTTAATCGAATCGTTTTATTTGAGAGAGCTACCATAATCTAAATGCTGACCTGAAAAGCGTCAAATAGCAATTTTGAATTTTTTGTGTACATTGAAGAACCAGAGACTATATAAAATATATTATGAAGCGGGGCCAATCTTTAATCGTATTTCTTTGTAGATTACTAAGTTAAATATATTATACTTGTCCAAGAAGTAATTTATGCTTTAATTCTACAAGAGAATTAATTTGGTTGTGTGGTGTGCTTAAAATATTCACTTAGTCTTTAATTAATGTGTTTACAAGGTTTTCTAGGCAAGAACAATTACTTAATTAATCGAGGAGATTACTAATTTTCGAAATAGTTCATCTATATAAAATACGATGAAGCATGTAAGTTTCGAATAACATCTCATCTCTCTGAACGGAGTTGCAACAATATTTGACCACTTCATGGTGATGAAACCTGTTTAAATCTAAACCTTGCTAGGTTCAATCAATATACAAGCTGTTACTAAAGAGAACCAAAATCAAATAAAACAGGGGCTTGCGCCCTACTGCTCTGCATCGATTGGGCTAACGAAGACGGGTCAAACAAAATAAGATGCTAGACTATCGTACATAAACACTACGACCTACTCTTATATCTAATTCCAACTGTCAAGGGTTCTTTTACGTGCACGCCAATATGAACACAGAAACTTGGTTTTTCGTACCATCCGAAAGACTATGCATTGTCCCTTGCCAGGACATCCTTTCTGTACCAGGGGGAACTCCGTCGGTAATTATCGGTGAAAACAGCGTTGGCAAACCAACGTCTTACTCACTGAGCCACCGTGGCTCCCCTAAAGAGTACCAATATACCTACTAGTTATATAATTTTATATCTGGTGTCCACAATTTACGTGACGGAATTCTTACAGAGTTAACTCCACCCCAATCTGTCGGATCCCATTTGAGGTAGATATCATCCCACGTCTAAAATTAGAAAGAAAAAAAAACCACTAAAAAAACAGTCAATTATCTATTAACTTACAACTTGGAAAACGTGCATTTTCCGATGCGGGACCTTTGCTATTGAATAAACTACCAAAGTCAATGAAACAATTAACGTCTGTGGGCCATATTAATTCTCAACGTGTTTCAAAACCCTGATCTGTAAATAATCAGTGAATATAACAACCAACAGCGCTTTAGAAGCTGTTCATCAGTATTAATGCGCTTTATACATGACGATATTATTATTGTTATTTTAAAGCTGTTCTGTAATGGAATATTTTAATCATTACGTATAGAAAAGTACGAATATGCTCTTTTCTGCCGTGTAATCGAACTGCTCAAATGGGCTTGAATTTAGAATGGAGGTAAAAATACAGCTATGACCTCATTATATATTTTGTTTTCGTGTTTTTGGACACATAAGCACATTTAGCAAATTACCAAAAATAAAACATTACAATTATTTAAAAACCACCAAAGATAATAAATGGGCTACCTACCAAGGATTTTTTTTTAAACTTTTAACTCGGCTTTTCTGAAATAGTTTCTAACTTAACATTCTTACTGCAAAGGTGTCTGATCGGGTCGACGTTTTCAGTGTTAAACCCGGTCGAACAAGAGATCAATTACAATCGAGTTTTATACGATTCTAGAAAGCCCGACGTATATATAGACTCCTCTTACTACATCAGTTGCCTAATTAAATCAATTCTATTGCAACAACTTCTCACAGTCTAGTAATATGTTCCAATACTTTTTTTTATTGTTCTCAATTTGTTAAGGAAATGGATAGAACAAATGCAAAGTTCCAGTTCATCAAAACGGATGGGTTGATTGTCCGATCTTTTAAGAAATGTTTTATGCAAAATCAATAGGGAACTTAAAGAAGTGTTATCATTCTCACCAAGAAAATAAATGACGTGTTTAAGAGATTATTCAAAATAAATTTTATCATGTTCAATGTCACTGCAACTCAATTCACTTAAAATTAAAAACCATTTCATTTTTCACCAAATTCGGTGTTTAAGATGGCCACATTTTATATACTAAATTATTTTATGAACGTGAAATACGTCTTAGGTGGGCTTTCAGCATCAAAAGATATCCGATAGATTTAAAACAAAACACACGTTTTCTTATATAGTCTTCAAAAAAAGTAGTGGATATTAAGAAACAATACAAAACTGCGGAAATGCACTGCTGATTTTATTAGAGATAACCAGTGCATCTTAATAACAGGCCAATTGCCTACACATGAACATAAACAGTTCATTTGGACGGCTTATCTGACGGCCCCATTTCACTCGCAAAGAGATACACCGTCAAAAGTGAAAATGGGCGTTTTTGATTTTTGTATTAATAATGAGTAATTGCTCCATCAATCCTCAGACATTCAGCAATTCGTCGTGGCATGCCCCTAATCAACCGCCCAATCACGATTTGGGGCAATCTGACCCACACCCCTTGCTGTGCCACGGCCAATTCTTGCAGTGTTGTCCGTTGACGTTGACGTCGACGAACACGTCTCCCGATCAAATTAAACATAACACACTAAAGCAAAGATACGCTAAACAGTAAATCTTATGCAAGAACCGATAGGAAGGCAATCGTGTATAGACAAACCAGCACGCGGCAATTTTCATCAACCCTTCCTTGAAGTGTCAAATTTGGCAATGAACCCCTCCCACGTGTGTGGCACTATTGCGTGTTGCATGTGCAGCTCAATGGTTCTGTTGGGGCGAAAAGTTCTTCATCTGTGAACATATTCTCAAAGCATGTCAAGTGTCCATGACTATTTATCATATCACAACCTGCATAGGTATTTGCATTTCAATATCCCCTACATTTTTTGAAGAATATATATTAATAGCATAGGGAATCAAACAACAGAAGGTAAGTGTGGGAAAGTAAGGGAAATTATGGCCATTTTTATGCTATATAATTATTACTTTTAATGGCCATATTTACCACAGTTTTACGAACTACCTCAAAGTAGAAATAATGTGAACCATATCCAGTATTTGAACAGTGTATAAGCATTGCCATTTAAAGCTTACTATAATGACAGACTGATTAAAGAAAGCAACTTATTCCGACGGTCATAAGCTCACTGCCTCCTTTAAAATTTTGAAAACAACAACTGTTACTTACATATCTGTCCCACACATTTAATGTTAAAATTTGATTCTTTTCATCTAAATCCATAATCTGGACAAGTTGAATATTAAAACTAACTTTAACTGTATCATTATACTTGATTACGGGGCGGCCATACTTGCCCCTTCTTCTATACCGAGCCAATAAATTTTTAATCAAACGGTCTTCATCAGATAGCCGAATCTTTGGAAGCCCTAAAAAGAAAAAAAGCTAAATTTATCAAAATATGTTGCCAGCTCATTAAGAACTCAACATACGCAAATTCCTCCTAAAAAGTTTTAATAACCATCAGCTAAATGCTTGAAAGGAATTCATTATAAAATTAGAAATGGCTGCTCATCAATAATGAAGTTCTTGAACGTCACCCCCGATCTGTTTCGTTAAGTTGAAGTTTCTAATATGATTAGACTGCACATATTTAACGGTGAAAGGATTTTTTATATACCAAGAAAGCGGGGAAATACTGTTGAGAGTGTGAAAAGCCAAGTGGAGAAAAAGAATAATTTATATCAAACATCAAGCTTCAGCACTGACAAGCAAGAGACATATAACATAAACTTCAATCTTAGCTACACATACCCTAGAAAAAATTGAAGGTAATCTAACTCTACTAGAAAATTAAATGCCAGTAAAATAATTAAAACTGTCCATAAATACAATTGCCGCAACAAATCAGGTTTAGAAATAAATATTTGAAAGGTAATTACACGCCTTATTGAATGCTGGGTTTCTAGATTTTGGAAAAGCTTTTAGCCCTTCTTCAATAATTCATCCCACAAAAATATACATTTCCGTTGTGATCCAAATAGTGTTTCGTTACCAATTAGTCTTCTGTTAATTGAATAAAGAAAATCTAAACGGGTTATTCAGATGTCGAATAACATTTACCGTTGTACATAGAACGTAACCATAACATAATAATGCTCTCCATGCACACTCAGTGGTGACCTGATAAAACCTTAAGTGAAAACGCCTGTGGTCACAGGATTCAAAAGCTGTAAGCACTTACAAAGCCAACAAAACTACTTATCATGCAACCGTATAATATTGTCTGACATTCCATTCTTAAATACAGTGGTTGGATTGCATAATATAAAGTACTATAAAAAAAATGAAACAATAAAAAATGGTTTTAAAGGGTAAAATTATCAAGATAGACAAAGATAAATATAATTGTCATCCACATTTTCAAGATGCTGTGCTAAAGGAGGAAGTGAGGATTCTGGAAACTATTTCGCCAAGAAGCATTGGTCGACGTTTTAAATTAACCATAACGTTACGTCTCTGTACAGATAATGTGATTCATACTTAGATGACAGCATATTCTATCGAAATTATATTAAAAAAATGTCCCATTAATTTTAAATGGTAGACAATGATCGAGTATCTCCACCCTAGATGAACAGTATAGAGAATCTGAAAATAAAATCAAAATATCCCTATTTGTTCTCAAGTTAAGGTCATTAGAATATAATAGTTCTGTGACGTCACCTTTTCAGACCTACTAAACGGTATTTGTACGTTATTACATCCACTGATATCTGCGTCAGTTCCATCATCGTATCAGTTGTGGGCTTTTGTTGAAGAAATTACTAATAAACTAACAGGCGTGTTGCAGTGACTGTAGAAGAGGACACTCCCAGGTTTCTGTATCCCGTAGTGATTTAAATGATAAGAACTGTGTTGAACCGGACACGAAACGTCCAGTCCTGACACTGAATTGGATTGAAAACCACCGCACAACCCTTGAAGGTAGACGAAGGAAATCTGAACAATTCTGGACCTTGGCTGTGTGTATTAAACAAGAGCATCGCTACCGCTGCATTATACGTCCATATTCCTGCTTTGATTGATAGGGTACTTTTTGAAAATGAAGAACATGAAATATGAAATGGCTGCAATGACTGTAATATGTATGATAAGAGGCAAAATTTACAAACTAAATATTAACAAAAAATGGATGTGACACCACCCCAGAGGGTCGGGACATGCACCAAAATAAATAGTTGTTGTCTTCGCGATATAAGGAATAAATATGCAAAGTTTCAAGATGATCCACTCAGAATTGCAGTCTGTAGACGATAAACACAAACACTAGGCGTGGTTCTGTCCCTGGGGGTTGCATATGGAACAATATAAATAGCATATTGAAATGATTGATATGCTGAATTTGAACAAAATCTGTTAATAATTGCAACCTGTAGAGTATTTACAGACACAAAATTAACAAAAAAGGTGGGTATGGTACGACACCCCTGGGGACCGAGACATGCACCAAAATAAATAGTTGCCACCTTACGGTATAATGAATATATATGCCAAGTTCCAAGATGATCCCTTCAGAATTCCAGCCTGTAGACAAAAACACAAACTGAATTGGATCCATATCTGTTAATAATTAAAGATTATTTAAAGACAAAATATTTTTAAAAAGTGGGTGTGGCACCACACAAAGTGACACACTAAATTGGGTGTGGCTCTGACCCAGGAGGTCGGGCATGCACCAAAATAATAGAGGTCATCCTTAGGGTATAAGGAATAAGTATGAACAGTTTTCAAGACGATCCATTGAGAATTGCCGCCTGTAGGCGACACACAGACACGCAAAGAGAAAATGGCGTGGCTCTGACCCTGGGGATTGGGCATGCACCAAAACCAATAGGGGTAATTCTTAGGATATAAGGAATAAGTATGCAAAGTTTCAAGATGATCCATTAAGAATAATGATCTGTAAGTGACAAATACAAAAAAAATGGCGTGACTCTGCCCCTGGGGGTCGGGCATGCATTAAAAACAATAAGGGTCATCCTTATGGTATAAGTATGCACAGTTTCAAGACAATCCATAAACAGAAACACATACACACACACACACACACCCACACAGACAGGGGCGACGGCATAATACGTCTACATTATGAATGTGAACGTATAAAATCTATAAGATGGCGGATCAGATATACACGTCGCATAGAAATGGGATTGGATACCGATGTTTTTATTTTCGTTTTCTATTTAGAAATAGGGGTATTTTCTAAACATCCACTTGAATAGCCATTCAATTCTGTCTTCGAATATATTTTAGAGTCGGGAAATATTTTAGTTCCTATTTTAAATTGATCTGACGCAAAATTTAATCATACAAATCATAAAATGGTGTTATCTGACAAATATGGCCATATGATCGATATTTATAAAAAGCAACAACTAAATAGTTACTATTAACTTCACTAACCCCGTGTACACCCATCATAATATGCACTCGTTAGTTTATTTCCAGATCTTAGATTTCATTAGCGAATCAATAAAAAGGAAGTTGATACACGCTGAATTACGATAAACCATGCTACCTGCATTGAAACTATTTCGTTTCGTTTCCACAATTTGTGTTTTGTAATATGTGTAAAGTACAAGTGATCGTTTGATTTGATAAATCTTGATTTATTTGATTTTGATTTGATTTAAAGTTTTGGAAATCTGATATGCATAATACCATCTCTTGAAAGATAAATTTGGAATAAACGAGTAAAATGCAACCCATATGTTTGCTACAAACGTTCATTTTCTATAATCTTGTAAAAAAAAAATCTCGTATTTGGAAATATTCTGTTTTACTGGTTCTTTATGATAGAAAACTAAAACTCTGATCAACATGTTTAATGTTTTGTTATTCTAACTAGGAAATTAAACGGTGCTTCAGAATTCAAACTTAATAAATTTGATTAATTGATGTATTTTGTACCTCAAACTGTTCTAAATAGCTATTATTTAGCTAGCAATTCTCAAAAATATTTAACACAAATGTAAATTAAGGAGATATTCAGTACATTTTCATAAAACTAACAGAAAATAAAGACACAACTCCTTTCTGAAACGAAAGTGACCCTTACGTTCCTGAAAAGAAAATTTGCTAAAAACTGAAATAGAAATCTCAGCCATTCGAATAATTTGTTCACAAGAAGAAAATTTCGTTAAGAAAGGAAATATTTTACGTCGAAAAGAAAAGAATATCCCATTTCGATAATGGATTTCCACTTAGAATTGTATGGATACTTCTCTATTACAATTACATCCGCCCTTTTAAAGGACCTGTTGGTTACCCTTCTTAGTTCACATGAACTGCTTCTACTCTAGAAACCTTTATACGGAATATTGTAAAGGCCGAATGTATCCTGAGCTTTCTTTCCACTATGGAGAAATAACATAATGTCTATAATGCATAATAATATAAATTCTGCAAAGTAGGCATGTTTCGAGGATAGATATTGAAGCAAGGGTTATTCTAAAAGATCTACACAAAATACGCAAGGTATACATGAGGCAAGGATACCAAATACATTCCTATTGAAAACATGTGGGGAAATAGCTAAACTATAAATACATATTATCTAAATCTACAGTATATGTGACTGACTAAATACATGTATATATAAACACTTTAATAGTATAAAACACGTCAAAGCAAATTGGATTCTTAAAATTCTAAAAATACTGCAACAACAGTAAGGTTTATTAATATTTTACACATACGTTTAGCTGGTGGCTTTCCTATTAATCTCCCACCTGCAAGGAAATACATCATTTAGTTTTCATAATAATCTCATCATGCTTTATAAACAGAACATGCCACGAAATAATATCTTAAATTCGACCCCCATATGATAAATGAATAGATTATGCAATTTAACATTCATTATCAGGTGAATAAAGTACATATATTTGTTCACAGCAGGTAAAATGCCATTGGTGAAAAAGTTAAAATATCAACGAAACCATCTCTTCTGCAAATGTTTATACTCTGATATAATTGATAAGAATATATAATATCTTTATAATAACAAAAACTTTTAACAATATGGAGAAGTTGAAAATTGCGCGCAACAAATAAACACCTTTTATCTGGGATATTCTTTAGATACTAATGCGTTTCAAATTAAAAAAGATAAAATAAAGTGTACATCTATAGTCTTGAAATGGTATATAAACATATATATTTATATATAAGCTATTGTCTTTTTGTCGATTAATATTCTGCCGAGGGATTCAATATAACTAGGAGTTGAAATTCTTTATGGGATTAAAATCGTATTTCTCTGCAATGCTGTGAACATTAATCCCTTTTCTGTTATCACGGGAATTATCCGAAGTGAGACAGTCTGGTAATTTATTTACCTTGTCTTATTTATGTCACTTGACCTAGCGTTCACTTGCTGTCTAAATGTCTATGGCAGTTTTATAATCAATACCATTACTAAGGAGCATTTTGGAATTAATTTGAAAGGTATAAATACTTTATTCGTTAATTACTCTGTGTGCGTCAGTACAGAATAACAATTCTTATGTATATGACCAGACAAAATAATGTTACTGTATCTCGTGCAAAAAATATAAATAAATAACTTTTTGAATAAAGTACGTTTCGAAAATTCTGACAGTTAAGAAATGACATTTTAATAGTAGCTGAGTCTGGATAATGCAAGGTGTGATGGATTCAACTGCACTAATTCATGGTTGTCATCCAAATGGACATTTGACTATCGTTTACCATAGGTCCCAAACTTCTGTTCCAAATATACTACATGGGGGCGTTCAGAAAATCGAAGAACTGATGCAATGGGTTCGTTGAAGAAATAATGATTCCAAGATCTACTACAAATGAATGGATTCGTTTAATAGATAATTTCAAAATCTACCAATGCTGTTCTTTCGAAATTATAAGAAAACTATTAGAACCGGATGTGGGTGGGATAAGGGGGTTCAGAAAGCAGAAGTTTTGAACAGACTACTGTAAATCTAAGGATCATGGACCTTTTACATTTGCAGTAGTCTGGGTACTGTATATGAAAACAAATCCAAAATATGCTGCAGTTGAATAGGTTCGTTATAAACATTCTTAGTTCCTTGAACATAAACATTGTATAACTTTCAAATAGATCGGAAAATAACTTTAGTCCACGACATTGACGGACGGGAGTGACGGCAATATACGATCACGTTTCAATTTGGACGCATAAAAAGTAAACATTCTATATCACATGATTTATCAGTAATCTATAGTAATGTATTAATGTCCGATTACAAATAAACAGATCATGATCAGAGAACCACATTTTCCCATAAAGTGACACAGAAAACTAGGTAAGTAGGTTTAACTTGTTTCTGTTATAACCGAAGTACAATACTCTCATGTACTGGAAACTTTCTCTGGCATTTGTCAAAATAATATAATGGGTTTCACTTGATTCGATTTTTTCTTCATTATATTCGTTTATCCAGACAGTTGGCTGCCATAATGTCTATGTAGGAAACATACACGAAGGCCGACCTGCTCCCTTGTCTGTAGAAATATTTAGTATAAGGTGACTTGTGGGGAATTCCTGCCATATTGCTTTTACTAAACAATCGACATTCGAATCGACACCGTTAATTGATGAAAACATATCTGGTAATCTATAATGATGGTATTCTACAGATGACGGTATGTGTAACTGTAGATCTCGCTTGTATATTGTAAATATGTTTAAAACTGTATAACTGGCGTGTCTGGGTAGCTTATCACTTAAATAACATAACCGTCTTGAATCTTTGTTGAAAATCCAAACTAAAAAATTGAAAGCTAATCCTTAAATTTGGTAATGTCAACAAGAATTGTATAGGCTACTTATAAAGAACGTATCATAATAGGTCTTTATATTAGATATATTTTTGTTCTAATTTGACAATCTTCTCTAGATGCGAGACTTCGGTTAAATAGCTGACTATAATGAGCTTTTGTAGCAAGGATAGATCGAAAAATGGGGTATAGCGTCCACTCAACGCAACTAGGTCATTTCGGGACTATTGGTTCAATTTTATTTCAGTGCGCACAGGGGTCTTTAGCAGCGGAGAAAACCCAAAAGACAGGGAGGAAACCCACGAGGTTGGACAGACGACCCAAATCTTTGTCACGTACCAGCTGAGAATCGAAACCACACCACATGACTCAATGATAGAGATAACGATCAAAAGAATCAATTGTCCACTTAAAATCAGCTGGTGGTCATTTTAATAGAAACAAGCCAACAGCGAGGCTGATGTCCCCCGCCGAAATCCCGAAATAAATAGATGACACATATTAATTGCAGATTTATCTTTTTCAAAAGTATCGAGCAATCAAACTGATTATGAACTATACACTAAGTTTCATCACTCTCTATCAGATAGAATCAAAGTCAAAAGAAATCGCTTAGTCCTGCTTAGCTTTAGCAGGAAATGTAAATCATTGAACTCAGTCAAGACGTTCACCTAATGAACATCTACATCAAGCATAAATATTCTACCTCAGTTCAAAGCAGAGTTGTAATGTTCCAAAGCCTTGACCAATCAAATAGCTTATTCTCCTTAGCCTAAGCAGAAAATTCCCATCATCGAACTTAGTCAAGGTAATGATATAATGCATATTCGAAGTTATCGTACCCAAAAGCATCAACCAATCAAATTGCTTATCCCTGCTTACCGTAAGTAGACAGTGTTCATCACCGAACTCCGTCAAGGCATTCACCTAATGAATGCCTACACCAAGTTTAAACATTCTACCTCAATTACCCTCGGCAGAAAATGCACATTATCGAACATAGTTAAGGTATTGATGTGATGAAACTATACATCAAGTTTTATCACTCTCACTTAATTAGAAAGAACTAAAGTTATCGTGTCCCAAAGCATCAAACAAACAAATTGCTTATCTCTGCTTACCCATAGCAGAAAATTCTCATCTTTGAACTCCATCAAGGCATTCACCTAATAAACACCTACACCAAGTGTGGAAATTTTGGCTCAATTGGAAGGAGATCTAAAGTTACTGTGTTCCAAAGTCTCAACCAATCATATTGCTTGTCGCTATGCTTACCCTGGGCAGAAAATGCTCATTATAGAACTTAGTCAAAGTATTGATGTAATGAAACTATACACTAAGTTTGATCAATCAATCAAGTTGCTTATCCCTGCTTACCCCAAGCAGAAAATGCTCATCTTTGAACTCCGTCAAGGCATTGACCTAATAAATACCTACAACAGGTTTGAACAGTCTAGCGCAATTAGAAGAAGAGTTACTGTGTCCCAAAACAAAAAGTGTGACGGATAGACAGACAGACAGACAGACAGACGGACGAACCCAGTTTAATAGTCCCCTGCTTTCTCCAAAAGTCTGGGACAATAAATCATATATTTATTTTATCTACCCATGTTAAGTCAAATTCAATAATACGGTAGTGGACGACAAATTAGACCTATCAGCCACTGCACAGCTTAGCTCAGCTTTCGACGCGGGTAATCTGGCTTTACTCATAACGTCTATAACCATGCTTAAGGTATGGAAGCCTATAACTACCATTCATAATTTCTACTTTTCGCCTCTTCAGAACACGAAAGTCGACTTTTCGACTTTCGTGTTCTGAAGAGGCGAAAAGTAGAAATTATGAATTTCGACTTTCGTGTTCTGAAGAGGCGAAAAGTAGAAATTATGAATGGTAGTTATAGGCTTCCATATTAAGGTGACCCACCATAAATAAAAATCTACGAAAGCCCAGACGGCTCATTCCAAATTCCAAATGCGAAATTCCAAATCTGATCCGAGGTTTGCTTCGGCAGATGTGAACAGCTTGGTGATCGGTTGCATATCAGTAGTAGTACTTGATCACTTACTCAGTTCCTTCAGTGTAAAAGTCCCCTACGGCATGCTATGGATGCGACACTCACTGATATCAGTTTTATACGTGCAAATATAAACATGATAGTCTAGCATATTATTTTATTTGACCAGTCTTCATAAGCCAAGTTGGTGCAGAAAACTAAAATGTTAACCCCCTTTTATTTCCTATTTTGTTTTATTTTGAGATAGACTAAACAAATCAATATGGGCGTATGTCAAACTCGATAACACCCATTACCATTGTGTTGGCGGATTATTAAGAATAATGAAAACACAGATAATAAAAAAAATACTAGTATTATAAACATGTATATACAGGTAAAATATTCTAGTAACTAAAATCTCTAATCAAGTTTAGGTTGCTTTAACCAGTTGCCGCAAATTGCTCGATAATGTCAAATTTGTACATTGAAAATCGCAGAGAGCACTTTGCTCGATTGTGTTTATTATATGTATCGACATTCACTTCTAATTAATTCCGAAGCTCTTAATCACGGTGATATATATTAAATGTGCTCTTTTCTTTATTTGCAAAGGCCTACAAAATTAACAGTACTGCATAATGCAATGTCCGTTTAAGACAATCCTGTAATCAGTCCCCTATTAAAATTTTATACTATTAAAGTATATATTATGAGTTTATTTGTGTATTGAAAACGATTAAGAGATCGATATGTACAATACTATAACGTTTAAGACAATCTTGTAATCACATAGTTCAATATTCAAATTTTAAACTATTAAAGTACATATTATTATGATTTTATTGGTATATTGAAAAAGATTAAGTGATCGATAAATAGGTTAAACATGGATTATTTGAACAAAATATCATCATTCATAAATCCGCTATAAGATAAGAAATGTGGTTACC